TGGAAGGAAGGGTGGGGATGTGTGGGGGTGTGAGGCATGGGAAGGGGGGATAATGGGGGCCTCACATCCCTGGGACTCACGGGACCGACCTGGGCCGGGCACCATGCCCCCCCGGCCCCGTACAAGAAGGCCCTAATGAGAAGTGTCAGGGTTGTGAATTCCCACCACTGCACCTTCAGCAACCGTCCTGAAAACAAGAACACTGTATTTTCATCAATTCCGTAAATCACACAGATGGGAAACTAAACTGCTTCTTGCATCAGGAGAACGCGGGAAGATTGATCACAGAATTAGGCTGTCCTCCCACAGTGCCCTCAGCTGAGCCGAGCCTTCTCGGGGCTGATGTGAAGGCTCAGCCGGGGCCCCTCAGGAGGAGCGTGGACGCCGGCCCCACCTGACCACGGAGTCTCCTTGTGTACGGTGGGTCCCCGAGCACCGCCCACCGACGGCCCCAGAGGGAGCAGCCTGCGCATCGATCAGCACCGCTGTGGACAGCCGTGATTAGGTTATAAAATCGTAACTGAGGTTGTTGTGTGTCTGTTGGCATAATCACATCAGCATGCTAATGCCGTTTTAATGGTCTCTAATGATGTAATAAGAAATAATGGAATTTACTTGACAGCTACATAACCATTAACAAAACATATTAAGTATAACTGGTACTTCCATAAAAACGCAGACAAGCTCTGAAGGCGCCGGCTTGCGCGGCGGCCTCTCTTCCTCTCCTGGAACAATGAGCAGCCCTGAGAACGTGCTCCTAGATGCACAGCCAAGCGCTGGCCACGCAGCAGCCCCCGCCACGGCCTCCACCGCCCACGTCCGGCTGTCCGGTGGGCGCACACGCTCAGTGCGCACCACGGTGCCGGGCCCCTTGTGCACACGCGTACAACACAGCACAGACTTGTGCAAGCTCGCACACAGTACCTCGGGACCCGGACGCGCGGGGCCAACACTGACCGGCAGGACGGGGGGCTCTGGCAGCGCGAGGACCAGCTTTACATTGGAAGCATGAGCTGCATTAAGAGCAGGGAGACTGGGGGCCCCTCCAGCGGGGCGAGGTGGCGGGAAGGACCCTCTGGAGTGCTGGGCTCGCTGGAGAGCTGCAGACCAGACGCTCACTGGCTTAAACAGCAGCGGGGGGTGTCACTTTGGGCTCCGCAGGACATCGGAAGCCCCCAGTTTTCTGACCAGGGAAGAGACTGTGGCAAAAGACATTTACAAAAGCTTTGGCATGGCCCCCAGCTCAGCCAGAAAGTGCTCCCCAGAAATCCTCTGCGCCCCAGTCCTCCTCAGATGTGACAGGGGTGCAGGTGGGAAGGGCTGAGACGTGTAAGCCGCAGACCCGAGGTAGAGACCAGGGACAGACGGAGTGCAGCTAGCTCCCACCAGACGTCCTCACTGGACATCCCTGCCCCCGGGCCCCCCGCCCACTGGACACCTCCCATCAGACGCCCCCCCCACACTGGACACCCCCCACTGGACTCCCCTCCCATCAGCAGTCCCCCCCCGGACGCCCCCCCATGAGACAACCCCCCACCAGGCACCACTCCCCACCAGACAGCCCCCCATCAGACACCACTCCCCACCAGACAGCCCCCCACCAGACACCCCCCCACCGGACACCACCCCACCAGACAGCCCCCACTGGGACACCACCCCACCGGACACCACCCCACACCGGACACCGCCCCCCCACCAGACAGCCCCCGACATGGACACCACCGCACCAGAAGCCCCTCCAGTCCTGACACCCCTCCCATCAGACTTCCCCCAACCAGACACCCCTCCCGCTGGATGCCCCCTCCAGAAGATGCCCCTCCAGTCCTGACACCCCCACCCCCAGCCCACACCAGAGGCCTCTCCTGTCTGGAAGCCTGCCTGGCCTCACCCTGGTCTCTGGGCCTCCCACCACTGCCCTGAGACTCTTAGAGGCCGATGAGCCTGGCTGAGGATGTGGAGAAAGGGAGGGGACAGGTGGGCAATGCAGAAACCGTGGGGCAGGACAGAAGATGGGCTAAACATGCTTGTTGACCTTGGACACCCGTGTCCCATTCTCTCTGGGAGACACCTTCCTTCAACAGGAAACTTCTCACTGCTGGAAAAGTCGTGGACACGTGGTCAGTGGCTGCCAGTTATGTGAAAGGCTCAGTCCTACAGCGTTCGGGGGGCTCATGTGCGGGGCCTGCCCCTGGGGGTGGGTGATGAGGCAGGCCACCATGGGGGCTTCCAGCCTGGCCCAAGGGCAGCTCCCCTCCTCGGCGGTGGGCTCTGGGTCACACCCACCTGACCCACTTCGGGCTGGAGAGCTCCACGGCTGTTCCTGAGGCTCCCAGCCCACCGTGCTCCCGCCTGTCCCGAGGACACCCCTCCTCCCAAACCCCTCTCTCAGCAGCATGGAGCCCAGGTCACGAGGGACACACACCCCGACTTCCAACAAGCAAGCAGCGGCGGGGGGCCGAGGCTCCAGGAAGCGCAAGGCCTCTGTGTGTGGGGACCTCTGCCTTCTATCTGGTGCTCACTCACCCCAGAGCGCAGAGGGAAATAATGAAAATCAATAAATACAGTCGCCAGTGGGGCCAGGCCACGTTTTACTCTGAAGCCTCTCCGTGTGATTACTTTTTTGTCTAATGTTCTCAATAACAGGTCTGAGCTGTGTTAACGTTCTCCAAAAGCTCAGGCCACCCCGGCCCCTCCCGGAGCTCCCCCTGGAGATGTGAAGTCTTCTTGTTGTTTACTGCCTTCCAATCGCTCCCGGAACATTCTTCCCTCTAATGAAGGAGGCACTCATTCATTCATTCACTCCCTCAACAGCAACATGTCCCTGGCACCAGCAGCTGAATTTCGGGGGCACACTCAGTGTCTCCTACTTGTGGACGGAGGGGCGAGGACCGCCCCGCCCTGGTTGGCGGGCGCGGTGTGGGTGCCAGGCCCGAACTCCGCAAGTCCTGCGCTGGGTGCCTGATGTGAACGTGTCAGGGACCGCTGTGACCCCCGACCTTGGGGCCCGGAGGTGAAGACTGCAGATGACTAGCCACGTGTGGGGTGCAGGCATACTGGGGAAATTTCCCTCTGCTTCTCTGAAGGGAACGGTCGGCGCCACCAGGTCAGGACTGGCTCTCTCTGCGTGCGATCTGTTTAACGGCACCCGAGACACATGCCCTGGGCAAAGGGCCTGGGTGGGCCTCCTGTGTTCACGCTGAGCTCCCGAGTCCAGCAGCCATGCCCCTTCCGCAGACGCCTGCATACACCTGGCATGCGGTTCTGCATGGGAGGGAATGTGCTTGGACAAAGGACAGTTCTCAAGGGCGTCTGAAATGACAGGCTGGAATAAAAGCTGCTCCCACGGGGCCGGTGTGTGGCTCAGCTGACCGGGTAATGACATAGTCACATGTGGGTGTCTCCCAATCTCTCAGCTCCTCCCACATTCGTGACTACCTCTCCAAGGCCAAAACCCCATCTGGCATGGGGTCGGGACAACCAACACTCATCTAGAAACCTCAGCGGCCCCAAGGCACTTGAGCCTCCTCCTGTGTCCTTGTAAGAGAAACATGCTCTCCTCATGTAAAGTCTCTGGTGGCTTGCCAGCCCACGGAAGGAACGCCACACTCCTCACAAGGGCCTTGGGGCCCACCCGAGCTGCCCTGCCTGTTCACGTGGGGCACACAGTCCCTCCTGCCTCGAGGCAGCCGGGCACCTGCTCTCCAGACCTCACAGCCTCTGGCCCTTTGCTTCCACGTGAACTAGGGCTGCCTGACCTTTACCAGCTCTGCTCTGTGCCCATTTCTGCTGGAATGTCATGTTCTCTGCTCCACCTTGGCCCGGTGTTCTGTAAACATCTGTTGAATGAAAAGCTGCGTCTTGGGGCGCCTGGGTGGCTCAGTTGGTTAAGCGTCTGCTTTGGCTCAGGTCATGATCCCGGGCTCCTGGGATTGAGCCCCAGGTTGGGCTCCCTGCTCAGCGAGGAGCCTGCTTCTCCCTCTCCCTCTGCCTGACGCTCCCCCTGCTTGTGTTCCCTCTCTCTGTGTCAAATGAATAAGTAAAATCTTTAAAAAAAAAAAAGAAAGAAAGAAAGAAAGAAAAGCTGCGTCTTGTAGACGGTCCCATTTGCTGGTGCAGAGATGATACAGGAGCCCTCATTAGTCGGAGAGACGGGCTAGACCGTCGTCAGCGGCAAGGAGCCCAAGGAAGTGAATCTGGGCTTACTGTTAAGACGAGGACTCGGCCTGGCCCCTCTCTCCCAACTTCTGGCTCCCTTCTACTCAAGATAAAGGATGATGAACTTCCAAATGAGCTAAGAGCCACAGGGAAAGAGCTTAGACAGTCCCACCGAGTGGCAAGACTTGCCAACGGTCATACTGTATTTCCAGGACTGAAGGTCCCGGGCCAGCCGTCTGCATCAACAGATAGCTCAGCTGAGCCTCTTATTTCCAGGCCTGAGTGGCTCACAACACACCACTGATCCGTCCCGAGACGGCTCTCTGGGCTGACCTCCGCGTCCGGACCTCCCCCCGGTCTCCAGCGCCACTGAATCTGCCTCCAGCCTGCCCCTGATGACGAGAGAGGCTGGTCGTGCTCGGGGGACGTGGTGCGGCAAGTACGTGGCAGGGTGTGCAGGCTGGAGGCACTCCCTAAGTGCTGACTTCTCATGGACACGCACCGTCCCTGGGCTCGGACTCATCTGCAGCGGGGTGGGGCCCAGGCACCGGAATGTTCTAGAGCCTCCCAGGCAATTCTAGGTGCAGCAGGGCTGAGCACCGCAGCCCCAGTGGGCCCTGTCCTTCCAGCAGATTATAATTCTCACAATTACAGTCCGGTTTCAGCTGCACTTAAATAACTTATCAAACCCACCTGGAATTTTCCTTCCATCTCTCTCCTGAACTGTTTCTGGTGTAATTAACAGGAACCCCAAGCACACCGTTCTTTCCCTTGCAAACCAATTATGAAACGGAACCTGATGTGAGTGGAGACTAAAAGCTTCGGACCCCGCACCCGGCACTCACGCGATGTCTGGGAAGACACTCATCGGCACCTCCAGGAGCCGTGCGATGCTCTCCATCAGCTCCTTCCCCTTCTCTGGGCTCAGGGGGCTGTTGAGGAGAGCGGGGGGCAGCGTTACAAAATGGAACTCATCAACACTTGAGAAGCTGCGCATCCCCCTGCCCCCACCTCAGCGTCTGTGCATTCCTGTCACATAGTGACCAGGCTCTCAGGGCAGCCGGGATCAGGTGCTTCTTCAGGCATGATGAATCACCTGAATTTCCCAGCAATGAGACAAACAATACAGTGCAAATGGAATTGTTAGAAGCGTAATGGGCCCGTGATGCAGCCACGGCTCAGCTCAGCCTTCAATAAAAAATATAATAGGGGGGTGGAGGGGAGGCCAGACGGGAAGGAGAGAGAAAAGATGGGAGACCGAGGGGAAGCAGATGCTGAAAATCGAGTTTCAGGATGGGCGTCAAATGTACAAAGGAAACACATTTTTAAATGGGCTTGTTTCTAAAATGAGCGATGTGCCATGAGAGGGATGTGAACGGGACACATCTGAAGGTAACCATGGAGACCAGAGGGGCACCGCGCAGCGACCCCCTGGGGGGCGGGGTGCTCCAGGACGATGCGCCCCAGGCCCGCAGGAGGCCCGGCTCCACCGGAACCGTGTGGCTCAGAGCTCCAACGACAAGTCCTGAGTCCCAACACGCAGCTGTGTGAGCCACGCCGGCCCGTGAAACCCTATTAGCAGCATTCCAGAGACTATTCCGTTATGTCGTCATATAAAAGCTGGTGCATAGCCACCGCCGTCATCCCGGCCGACCTCTCGTGCCCTTGGCCAAGGTGACAGGAGACGGGCTAGGTGCAGCAACAAACAGACCGGGCCCTGCCTTCCGGGGACCTGCATTCGAGCAGCACAGGGGCGGCAAAGACAAGTGCTGTTGTGGATTGAGCTGTCACCCAAGCGTCGCATGTTCAGTCCTAAATCCAGAACCTCAGAATGTGACCTTACGTGGAAAGAGGTCACTGCTGACCGTTACGCTGAGAGGAGGTCATCAGGGTGGTTCCGAATCCAATGTCACTGGAGTCCTCGTAGGAGGAGGACATGCACAGGGGTGAGTAGGGAAGCATCCAGGGTCCCTGCAGCTCCAAGAGCCGATGGGGTGCAGGGTGCAAGGAGGAGCCAACCAGGACCCAGGAAACCAGGACTGGGCAGGAGGGTGCAGGGGGGCCTGCAGGCTTGGGAGAGGCCACGGGGTGTCGTGGCACCAGGAGGTGACCCAGGAGCATGTGAGATGGAGAAGCCGTGGGAAGGAAATTCTCCTGGGGACACATCCTAACGGACAGAGCCCACACTGAGCATCTGAGCTGGGAGCAGCTGGGGAAAGCGGCCTTCAGAGAATGGCTAAAGCAGGAATCCGGAGGGACAGAGCCAGCAAGGAGGAGTCGAGGGCCCTTGGAGGCCTCAGGTAGAGACGGAGAAGTGGGCTGGCGTCAGGAGTTGCCGCTTGCCCCGCAACTGTCCTGGGGTGTCCCGGGCACGTGCAGCCACAGCGGGACGGACACTCCCGCCCTTAAGGGGAGGCTGGTAAGGAGCCATGGCACCAAGCCGCCCCCCACCACCTTCTCTCAGCGGGGACAGGAACTGGACTTCTTCCTAGGGACGCCGGTTTCTGCAGGAGGCTCTCTACCCACAGCCGGGCCTGCTCTCCACGCCTCACCCGTTGTTCTAGATCTCTTGCCAACCTGCAGGGTGCTGTTCTGCCCTAAAGTGAGAAAGGAGAGGCCCGACGCGGGTCTGCGATCAGGGCCTTTGCCCCTCCATCCCGCTTCCCGGGCAAGAGCGAGATGCCCAGGGCTGGGGACCCTTCCAGGAAGGACAGACAAGTCCTACAAGCCTCCTAACACAGGGGCTTTTCACATCATGCTGTAAAATTAGAACACATTTTCAGGTCATGTGTGCACGTGGTGTGGAAGTCTACCCTTTTACCTCGTCACCCGACCTGACTTAGAAACCCCCCTGGGCATCTCGCAGAGCCCACGCTCGGGCCCACGAGAAGGTGAGACACTGACGGGGGAAGGGGTCCACCTGGAACCTTTGTGTCTTCATCATCACTCCCTGCCTGTCCACCCGGAGCTGCAGGCTGGAGCTCGCTTTTCATCAGCCAGCCCAGAGCCCCAAGAAGGCCTGTGTCTAAACCAAGTGTGCAGGGACCTCGAGCCACATGGGGGAAAGGCCACGGTGCCATGTGCAGACTCAGGAACAGGAGAGCAGCAATGCCAGGAGGGTGTGTTCACTACAAGTCAGATGTGGAGAAAGAACGACAGCCGCAGAGCCCTAATCCGGGACATGGGCACCAGCGACACAGCAGGGCCTTGGAGGCCCTCGTGGCAGAGCTCTGGTGCCCCTGCCCCCGCGGCTCTCAGATGGGCCGCTCTTCCTGTAACCAGGCCCCCCAGACGCAGTGCAGGCGGGCGGACAACCAGCATCTGCAGACACGAGTGACGGGGCGTGACGAGGCCTGCAGCGAACCAGGGCCACCCTCACCTACGCAGCCCACGTACCCCAGGCCAGACCCCAGCCAGGACACAGCCTTGCTTCACAGACCCCCGCCGAGGGCACAGACCCTGCCTCCTCGGGCCCCGCCCCAGCAGCTCCCCTGGACTCCCAGCACTCGGGACCACGGAGCCTGACGCCGGCCCCCACCGCACCTGCAGCCAGCCTGGGGGCTCCCTGCTCGGTGCCTCCCTGCCGGCCTCCCAGGCCAGGCCGATGAATGCAGCCAGGTGAGACCTGGACGGGGCAGCTCGTCCGCCCCGCCGGCGCCGCCCACGCGACCCAGCTGCAGGCTCCTGTGCGGCCCAGGGCGGCGGTCAGGCTTTCGCCGTGTGGGTGTGGGCTTTGGCCACGGCACCAGCCGCCCCGCACATGGACATGAGCAGATGTGATGCATGTGTGAACGGAACAAATGTGTGAATACACAGGAAGATGTCAAAACGTCTCACGCTGAAAATCATTAAAACGTAAGTTATTAAAGGAGTCCCACCTAGCTGACAAGAGTTACCGTGTAAATCAAGGACAATGGGCATAAAAGCCCCTCAAACCCCAAACGGCTCTCCAGCCCTGGACTCTTTATTACTAACAGCCTGATTCCAGCCTCACGGCAACACCTCTCCTGGCAGGGCCGCGTGTGGAAACTGACCCGGGCCCCTCCCCAGACCCGCAAGGACGCGCCTCTGTTCACCCCTCTCTCAAGGGAGGGGCCTGGTGCGTTCTCTGTCAGTGGCTTCTCAGGGTAGTTTTCTGTGTAATTTCACAATCAAAAAGCAGTCGCTTGCCCTTGACCCAGGAGGACCTTCTGTCCTCCTTTCCCGCCCATTTCCACCACCTATTCCCCAAGAAGGGGCCTGTTGGGCGCCCAGGCTCCAGCCTTCAGTGGGCGCTGGGGAGGGCAAGGGTCCGAAAGGCAACATCGAGGGGGCCCCCACAATGCGGCCTGATGGTCGCCCGAGAGACAGCAGGGCCTGAAGTGTTGCACTTGGGGTGTTGCTCCTCGATCTACGACAGAGATGAGTGAGGTCGTGCTCAGGGTCAGTCACGTGAGCCAGGAGGGGACGCTGTCGGAGACCAGAGCTAGTCGCTCAGAGCTGTGCGGACAGATGACGAGTGGGTGAACGTGTTATCTACAAAGGCATCAAAGTGCGGAGGAAACAGTGGGACCGAGGAGGTAGTCTGCTAGTCGTCAAAAAATTCATAGGGTGAATACGAATTGTTTACAGAGCCAGTGGACTTAGAACACTAGAATTCCAGAAAGTGGAACAGAACGTGCAAATTTAACCCACCAGACAGCAGACCCCAGAGAGGAGCCAGCACGGTCCACCGGGGGATGGGCAAGCAGAACGCGCCTGAAAGAAACAGCTCAAAGGGGCCGCCCAGAGAAATCCTGTCTGTGCAGAGGGGGTCCCGGCCGCCAGAACGTGCCCCCGGGCACTGGGCAGACACCCTGGAAACACACCTGTGTGGTGGCCCCAGCGATGTGGGACTGCCCACTCTACCCCCTACCCACCCCCACCCCTGAATGTCCCGTGTGACCACAGAACATCCCTGCAAATCCTCGGGACGGAGGTGACGCAAGGCCCCGTCCCGTATCTGAGCACAGGTGTGCTCAGAGTAGCAGAGCACAGGGTCTCAGCCCAGCACCCTTCTATCTCCGAGAGTTTGAACGGATGACAGGAATACATGTACATGGCCAAGCGAGGGGCTTCATTTGAAGGGGCGGCATCAGGCACGCAGCCCGGAGTGGAATGACAGCTCAATCTAGGAAAATGGGCCCTCAGGTGACAATTACCAGGTGAGGAGTAGGGAAAACGAAGCTCCGTTCAATGCCACATGCACTGAGGTGCCCCCGCGGCCCCACCCAACGTGCTGTCCTGGTCCTTCATGGGAGAATCGGCAGGCCAGGCTGGATGGTCAGAAGCATCTTCCTTCCTGTGGTCACTCAGGATGTGCTTTGCCTGCAAACATTTCTGTGCCCCTCGGAGGACGCTGCCGGCAGGAGATGCGCGGGGGCCTCCCTGCGACTGTGGGACCACAAACACTGGTTTCCCTGATGGCCTCCCTCCAGCCCTGTGCTCTGCGAACGGACTCGGAGCCAGAGCCCTGCAAAGTGAACCCACATGGCCTGGGACAGGAGGCATCAGAAGACAGCAAGGACTCCCCAGGTGTGCACACACACCTGCATGTGCTTGAGACAGTGGAACAGGTGTCCACGTCCACACACGACGACGTGCTCACCAAGAGGAGCAGTGGCACTAAAACCAGCGAGGGTTGTGGTGATGACGTGCACTCCTGGATCAACACTACCAGGGCCCCCTGCCTGCCCCGAGACTCCCCCTCCTCCCACTGACCCTCAGCTCCGGCCGGCCCAGCCACCCCCCATCATGTGCCCCACACCCACGATGGCCCAAAGTGCTTCCTCCCCTCATCCTGGCCACCAACCAGGCCTCACCCATTCTAACCAGGGGGCCCACGTGGCTCCCTCCTTTTCCTAAAACTCCCTCTGCTTTGATGCAGAAGCCCCGAGGCCACCACCTATTACGG